ATAACAGTTTGTTGTGTTAAAAATATTCTTGATTTTAAGATAGTAATTAGATTTATAAATCAGTGAGGGCGACCTATATTAGCCAACGTTAGCTTATTGCTAAATCTGCGTTTTCAGTTGAATAGAATTTGATGTCCTACTAATAAAAGTATGACGCAGTTAAATCCAGAAATCCTCAATTTATCCCCAGCAGCAAGGTAATGGAGAATCTTTAGCCAAGAAGACGCCGCTCCGTGCGTCAAAACTGCTCCACTGCTCGTTTGGCTGTTACTGCAAAACCTTGACTCAGAGAGTTCATGACTTGATGCAAGCCGGTTGTTTATATGGACATAACGTCGAAAACACACCAAGCATCTTCAAAGTGCGAGCTGCCATGCAGTGGGTATGGAAATCTGCGGCGGCTGCTCCAAGCTGTGGCCTTTTGATTCGGCCAAACTAAAAGTTGCAGATGATTTTAACTTTTAGCCAATCAGCAAACAGAGTCTTGTGGCTACTGTGACAGGTTGACCTTTCTTACAAGAATTTCTTACTGCTTGAAACCCACAAACTCACCTTCAACACGCAGAAAAAAGGTCCACACAGGTGTGCTGCTTGGTGTGTTTTCGGCATTAGTTCGCTACAACAGTTGCAATGGCAATGGGACCCGAATTGGAGAATCCTTGGATAGTGAAGGAATGACCCACCCTACTCTCTCTGATTGGCAAGAACTTGTCGCCTTCGTTGGTTTGATTATTTAGGTGTAGGCAAAATGAGGGGGATTGGTTAAGTTTAGGGTAAGAATGTCAGCCTATCAGAGGCGGGCCATTCTGTTGCTGTCGTAGGCTTCGGAAATGTCGCAAATGCTACACATAAAAATGGCCACTGCTGAATGGGAATGTCTGTCCTGCTCTCATTCGTTTCCTATGGTTATGTGTTAGTTAAAATAAACAACTGTCGTTTTTTTTAAAGCTCGGCAATACCTTTATCGGTATCAGCCCCACAGATCTGTCATTGGTCAGGCTATAGCTGTAATATGTCACATACTTTCCCCAATCAATGGAAAGACTGAAGAAAATATGAGCTCATCATCAGTCAAAAGAACACCAGTGTTTTCTTACAAATTACCACAAACTAACCTGACATGCAGAAAACCTGAGCCAGGTTGTTTCCAGTAGAAGAGCACTGGATGGATTTTGGGAGGATGACATCAAGAGTGTGAGCTGTGTGTGCACCCAACTTCATGGATGAACTTTGAGGCAAGAGGGGCCCATGAGGACGAGTCAACGACAGCAAGGGGACGCAACCTAAACTGTGAGACTCCTTCGTCTGCGTGGAGCTCAGCGGTCCTCTGGAGAAGACTTCTCAGGAGGATCAGACTGTGGGTGGTGTGGATGATTTTGTGTGTGTGTGTGTGTGTGTGTGTGTGTGTGTGTGTGTGTGTGTGTGTGTGGCGGGGGTGGGGACGGGGGTTGGGGTGGGGTTTTACCTTACCACGGTGACATATTAGTGTTAGACTTACTTGAACGAGAAGATGTTACTTAAGTAGATTCTACTGTAAAGCAGATAGATCTCTCTCCTCCTGACCTCTACTTCCTGTATTTCTGTGTTTTAATGCTTCGTCTCTATGCCAGTGGACTCACTCATCTCACTATGGCTGTACATGTGCCTTTTATTAAAGATCATGGAACCTGCACTGCTGCCTATCTGTGTGTGTGTGTGTGTCTGAACGTAGAAAGGACCAAAATAGAGCTGACTCTCTGAAAGCATCGGCCTGTATGAATATTGCATCCAACACCACAGTTACGAAATCCAAATTTAATTCTAAAGCCTCGTACGAATGATGGATATGTTTTGTTGAATTTGTTGGAGAGGATATGAATCATTTTGAGCACAAACCGAATTAGCCGGCATCTGAACAATAACACACACACTGGCTTATCAGTTATTGCTTGTATGAAAGTGAAAGAAGGTGTTTGCAGGAGTGCTGTAAATGTTGAACGCCTGAAGACTTCTGCAAGGGAGACATTTATATAATGTATGCCTGTAAATATGTATTTAATTAGATATTGATCTGTATAGGTGAGTAGATCATTTTTACATGTCACAGTAGTTAAAGCACAAGTGCAAGGAAAATTAATCAAAAACAGTAAATATTGATCCTTTTTATTGAATAAAATTGTAAATGTATTATGACAATTCAGCCTTTGAGCATGGCTTTAAAATGTAAAAAAAATCATACTTAAAAATTATTTCAGCATTTATATAATGGACAACATTAAATGTATCATTTAACAACAATAAATAAAAATAAGTTTTTTGTAAATTGAAGCTAAAATTCAGTTTAAGTCACGTTAGCTTAGCTTTACTACCTTTACCATAAAGGGACAAACAAACTTTTTGGTAGTGTTTTTAAACAATTATTTGGCCCTCATTAGACTTTTATTTTTTGTATAAATTGACATTAGTATGTTCAGTAAGACCTCTGAAACTAGAGCATGTCGAAAAAATATGCCTACCTTTTAAAATCCCACCACACAGAGCCCTCATGTCTGGAGTGACCTTTTTGTTGTTACCAACTTCCTGTTGGAGTTGACCTGACAGACATACTATTTAAAGACACAGCAACATCTAGTGGATTGTTTATAGCACATCATGCCTAAACTGAACAATAGAGATAAGTTCAACACATTTTTCATTAAGAAATAGTGACCTGAAATATGCTTTACCAAACCGTTGGAGGGTTAACCTCCGGAGACCTGAACTTTTGTTTGGTATGCATTTTTTAATTTCTCCCAGCTATTTGGGATCACTACTAGATAAGTATAAAAAACTAAATATTGTCAACGATAACAAAGTCCCAATGTCCTCAAATGAGACAATAATTAAGTCCCAGTGTCCTCACACAAGTACTTCCTATTTAAAAGTGTCTTGTTTCTGTTGCTAAAATTGGTCAAATTTGTTGCCATATCAAACAACAAACATTATTAATCATAGGTAAACATGTTTTAGCCATAAGATGTGATCAGGTTTTGGACCTTGACTATGTTTGTGTACGGATCGGCTGCAGAGTGACTTGGCAGAGATGGCTGCCGTCTTGTTTTCACATAGATTAGTGTATTGTGCTCTTACTGCCACTAGATGGCATAAAAAGTGTCCATGAACGAGGACAACAGGTCTAAGTTAAGAAGAATGAAGTATAAGGTCAAGTAAACCCAAAATGTGATGTCCTCATATGAGGACACAGGGTCTCATTTATGGCCTACAGGCCAGACATGATGCTGGGTGGCCCAACGTCCATTTTCTAACTCACATTGAAAATAAACTGAATAAATGAATTACATTTTTTGTACTTTGAATGTTAATAAGATGCCAGAGTGCATAAACACGGCATCAAAATAGACTTTGTGCCAGGGGAGGATCCTCTAGACCCCCCAACAGAGGTTCAGGTAAGCCCTAAATGTCCTCAAATCCTAGAAACACCTCTGTGTATAACTGACCTGTGTGGGGCTGCTGCTCCTGGATTTGCCTCTTGGGAGAGAGGGGTGAGGACAGGAAAGGTTGAAAACAGGTGAATCATTTGTTTTACAAACAGATAAACCAGGGTGGGGGGTTCGATCCCTGGGACCTTCTGTGCAGAGTTTGCATGTTCTCCCTGTGTTAGCATGGGTTTTCTCAGGGTACTCCAGCTTCCACCCACAGTCCAAAGACATGCAGGTTAATTTGTGACTCTAAATTGCCTGCAGGTGTGAATAGTTGTCTGTCTCTATGTGTCAGCCCTGTGATAGTCTGACGACCTGTCCAGGGTGTACCCTGCCTCTTGCCCAATGTCAGCTGGGATAGGCTCCAGGAGTAAGAAGTGGAGGAGTAAAAAGTAGGCAATGATATACCCCTCTGAGATGCAGAGGAGTTCAAAGTAGCAGGTAATGGAAATAATCGAGTACCTCAAAACTGTAACTTAAATACCTCACTTAGGAAATGTACTTAGTTACATTCCACCTCTGAAAAAGGCCTTTTGACTGGACATCATCCTCATGGGTAGAAATGAAGTTGAGAAGGTGATCAGAACTGGCATACACTTTGAAAACCAGGTAACTGTTTGGGAACGTTTTTACACAAAAATCCCCAAATTTGACCCATTTCAGCCTCTCAAATTTGCTACATAACTCCCTCCTAAATACGATAACGACTAATCAGTTAATTGTAAAAATATTCTGAAGATTAATCAGTGACAGAAATAATAGTAATTTGCAGCCCTGAAGCTGCACAAAATGACCTGTAGTGTTAATGAGGGCTGTGTACTGAGAGTGTTTGAGCAGCAGGGGGCGCTAATGCCTCAAACTGAGACAGCTTCAGTGGTTTGATAGAAAATGGTAACTGATAACTCTGCTGTTTATATAATCTGCACCAATTTTCCACATTGGCTTGTTGTCATGAGTGAAAACCTGAACACTATTGCTCGACTGCGACTGTGTGATCATCTGAGTCCTAATAACACCAAGATTCCCTTAAATTAAGTGCCCTTAATGGTCAACCATGTTAATCTTAAATCTTTCACTTGCTTGTTAGTTATTCAGACATTAAGTTAATGACATTCATCTCCCATTTATGAGCTCAGTGGTGGGTTAACAACCCATATTTCTGCTTCTCCACAGCACAAACATCATTTTGATTATCATGTGACACTGCTGCCTCATTTAATGTACTTCAATTCCTGGTGTTTGTGTCTCGCCACGCCTGCATCCATTTGCATTAGCGTCATCAATGTTGGAGGAAACAAAGAGCCAGGATGATATAGAAATGTGACATCGTCAATCCAGCCACAGCACTTTATTCTATTCACACAGTGCATTTCCTTGGAACACAATATATAATTTAATATCAATATAAAACTCCATTTGTGTATATAAATTATGCATTCAATAAAGCAGCTCTGATATATACTATTAAGCTTTGGTACAGTGGAACATTTCTAACAGTTGAACATTTCTGTATGTGAGTGGGTGTATGTTGTGTGTGTGTGTGTGTGTGTGTGTGTGTGTGTGTGTGTGCGTGCGCATGCTTGTTATGAGTGTGAACAGCGTACCCTGTGGGCATCGCCAAGAGGAAGGCGGGTGTAGGTGAGGGGAGTGTGAAAAAAAGGTGTTTGTGTTAAGAGTGTGTGTGTGTGTGTGTGCATGTGAGTTAACGCAGGAACTCGAGCATTGTCGCTCCATCCGTCGAGGCATCATCAATACTGTGCGCTCCAGGCCGGGGCCCTGAGGTTGGTGCAGCTGGGAGGATGGCAGCTGCCGTGGTGGGAGGGTGAGGGCACCACGCAGCAGTAACCCGCCTCCCCAGCAACAACGTTACTTTGGGGATAGGACAGTGAAACACCTCCCTGCAGATGAAGAAAAAAAAAGAAAGTAAAGTTGGAGTGAAGAATCTGCAACCACAAGCACTTTCTGAAGTGCTAAACGCTTCTTTTGGGGGCTGAGTTGTCGGAGGCTGGCGATGAACGAGACCTTTGGGTGCTCTGTGTTTACCTGAACCATGCTACGATGCTGATGAGAGGCCATTGGTGAGTAGGTCCCCAGCACAGCCTGGGCCTGGGTGTGTGAAGACTGCTGCACCCCCACAGCAGGGGCGTAACCTGCTGCCAACACACAGTTATATAAGAGATTATTAACAATATATTTCATCAGTGCAAAGTGTTCAGCAAACGGTTAATATAAGGATAGAGCCACGAGAGAGTTTTACTGTTGTTTTAAATAAGACGAGCTGTGAGGAAACTTGGATACATCATGAACTAACCGCTCTCTAATTTTCCAGATATTGTCGATAAATAAAAAACTTTAATTAATTATTTTCTGGAAGAAATAAGAACTTGAGTACTTCTCTGTTTTTATTATTATTTATTTTACCTTAAATGACGACATAAAAATCATACAGAATTCTTACAGTGCTGGTTGTGCACTTGAATCTTTATTGGCAACATTAAATAATTACAGCAACAACAAAACACTACTTTGGGAAATACATTAATATTTTTCCATAGTTCACCCTGTCCTTCTGATTTTTGCTTGGATGTCGCCACTTTGACTCTTGTATGATTCTATACATTCATCTTCATTTATTTTGTTATCGGACACTGATGCCTGGAAGGTGTTGACGGACTGTTTGCAGCTGTTTCAAATACATTTGCTCATTAAGATGCACTAAATTCTAACACACGATGACAGTGTTGAAATGTGCCTCTTCGTCTTTGTCGTCGCGTGGAATAGAAGCAGCAGGAAAAGAGACCGGTTCACTGTGAGACCCTCAGACTACATCTCTGACAGTGTAACGGCCCCCTCCTCTACTGCCATGGCCTGCGTCTGTCTCCCACACACACACACACACACACGCACATACACACACAGGTGGCAAGTACCTGCTGGCTGTGCTGCTTGGCTGTGGATGTGCTGGCTGGGTGAGACAGGCCTGCACGGCTGCTGAGCTGAGGTAGGATACTGGCCGTAGTAATACACAGGCAACTGTCGGAAAATAATGTAAAAAATACTGGCTTTATTCTTACTGTTATTTACCTGAAACTCCTTCAACCTAAATTGTAGGTAAAATCAAGGCAGAATTTAAACATATATCTGACACTAACATGAAGTTGTTGTTTCAAGTACATCAATCATAAAAGGAACATGAGAAATTTAAGGTGCATGTGAGTCCGTACCTGAGGTGAGGGCTGGCAGTAGCTTGGGGGATTGGGAGGGGGAGGGGCTGCATAGATGTAACCCTGACCGGGCGGGTAAAGAGGGGGGACTTCACACGTCGATTGACAGCTCACTTGAGCAAACTGCGAGGAGAGCTCTTCAATCTGCGGGGCGAGAGAAAGGAGGTCAACATGCACGTGAAACACACACACACTGTAAGCACATGTATGTGCGGCAGTTTGTACAGCGATACATACTGCGGCGTATGGATGTGAGGGAGTGACAGGCAACATCTGTGGCGCTGTGTACGAGACAGATGAGTACTGAACCACCTGAGAGAGACACACAAATGGGGACGGAGATAAAGACACAGACGGCCACATGCATGTATGTCAGCCCGAGCATGTCTTGCATGTCGAACCCTTCCTGCTGTGTGTGTGTGTGTGTGTGTGTGTGTGTACGCTCTACCTGCTGAGAGGGGGAGCCTTGAAGTTGAGTCTGACTCCTGATTGGCTGCTGGCTGTCCGGAGGGTTGTACACAGCAGGGGATCCATCAGGGTTCAGGAAAGGCTGCCCTGAGAGGTCAAAGGGTTGATAAGTGTGATAAATGCATTGTGTGTTGTGTGTGTAATGTTACTGGTGTGTGTGTGTGTGTTTGTGGTACGTACCAGTATGAGGGTTCACTAGTATGCTTCCCGGTGGGATCCCGTTCTCCACGATGTAAGCAGAGCTGGGAGCGGGCTCATCTGTGGATGTCAGTCTGTAAAGAGGGATGGAGCCTGAGAGGGAGGGAAAGGTGAAAGAGGGAGTAGAGATAAGAAAGTAAAGACAGAGAAAGTTTTATCACGGCACATAATAAATTAACATTCAAAATCTTCAGTCTCTCCTCCCCTGCCTGTGCTAAAAACATACTGTGTGCAGCTCCTCAGCAATGACGTATTTTTCTTGAATATGCGAAGATGACTGGAGGTGTTGTGTGAAAATTTACAGCTATGGTGTGAAGGTTCATGAATTGAGTTATATCTTCACACCAGCAGAACTTCCACTGCTTTTTGTTAATTAGCTGCTGCTGAATAAAGAACAGACATCATTTATACGCAGCGATTTTCCCAAGTGTAGCGTGGCAATGAAATCCGCTAATAAGTTTGCTTGCACGCAGGTAGAGAGGGATGAAGTGTCTCACCCTCGACGACTGGATTCACACCTTCAAGGTGCGACTGAGAAGTGATAAAGAGTCTTTAAATGTTATTCTGGCGCCAGGTTTATGAACAAAAAAAAAAAAAAAAAAGACGCACCTGAACCGCGTGTGTCCCAGCTGTGGTTGGCAGCTTGGCAGGGCTTTGAGGCAGGACTCGTCCATTGGTAGGAGGAATCAGAGTCTGTGCTGCTCCAAGGTCGGGGGTCGTTGCTGTAGCGACAGTCAGTCTCAGTGCTGCTCTGCCTGCTGCTGCCTGTCCAGCTGGAGCCTGAGCTGTCACGGCTCCCCCTGTGAGGCACATCCAGAATTATCCTACAACTTTATTGCTGCATGAGAGGCGTGCTATTTATGTGAATGAGGGACACCTGCTGATATGCTTCACATAAAAAAGGCCATGTATGCATTCACTGTCATAAATCATCAATAAAAAAAACTTTCCTTCAGCTATTTTATTCAGACTGAAAGATTTCCAAGACTCCTAACCCTGATACAAAAAAATCTAGGTCTTCATTTTGTTTCCACTGCAGATTCTGAAAAGCTCTGTTACAGCCAGGCTGACCAGATTAAGATGATAAATGACTTCGCATCTGTGCAGACAGAGCTCTACCTGAAGAGCTGCCTTCTCCTCTGGGTCTCAGCATATGGATTGTTCTCCTCCGCAGCCCTGCACACAGCACACACACACACACACACACACACACACACACACACACACACATATATTAATGCCCTCATCTAAATATAAAAAGCTGAAAAGGCACATGGAGAGAATACACTGCAGGCAAGGTTACCTGGTTTCTGTATGAGCATTCTCCTGGGTGCAGGATGCCTGTAAAAGTACGGCAGAGAAATTAGTCTCCTATATGTCTCCATGTCATATCTGCCTGACTCTCTCTCTCTCTCTCCCCTATCTCACCTCTTGGCTAAAGATTCGATCTCGTACTCGTTGGTACTCCTCCTCTCTCTCCTCCATCGACTTGCTTTGCTTCTCCCGTAAGGGGTGAAGTCGGGTCTGAAGGGAGAGGAACGAAAGCAGGTCAAAAACGCTGATAGGATACAACCAGTGTCAATTGTAGAGAATATTCCACAGAGACAGGCAGCTATAGGGACAGGAGGACAGACGGACCTGGTCATCTGAGCTGTTGTCTCTCTTCAGAATAATTTTCCACTGGTGGAGCTCTTCTGCCTTGTCCTTATGCACCTGGTCCAGAAAGCGCTGCTCTGGTCTTGAAGGCAAAAAGTAACAATCGCCATTACTTCACAATCAATGCTAAAAGGCGAGGATTTACATGCATTGTGTGCGCTTACATGCGTGTGCTGCTGGTCCTGTTGATGATGACAGCCTTGCCTGTCTGGTCTACATTGTGCTCCATGCCAAAGTAGGCCGCTACCCGATGGACCAGCATACGGTGGTAGGACGACATGTGAGGGAACTTCTTAAAGGGACTGAGATGTGGGAAGAGAGAGGCAAGGTAAAAAAAAATATATTAAAAGGGGTGAAGAAGGAGGGAAGCAGTGAGGGAAACAAGTATAGAAGGAGGGAGCAATGAAAGAAAGTGGGAGGGAGGAAGAGAAAGAAGGAGGTAGATTGAGACTGGGTGAATTTTTTGGCTTAAGTCCAATTTCATTGCCGGTGGCTCAAACACACCCACACCAACATAACCAGCTCGATATATTGATCAGTACACTGAAAAAGCTGTATGGACAGAATTATAATATAAGAGCTGGAGACATATCTCAAATTAGCATAAAACTCTATTCATCCTTTAACAGGATTTAGTTTTATTTCAGCATGTTTATCAGTAGATAGCTCAATGAGGACCCAAGGTTATGTCCTCTCGTTCAGACACACACTCCCCCCACACACACACACCTATTGCTGATGATAAAGTCAGTCATGTCCTGCTCCAGTTTAAGCAGCATCATGCGGTCTCTGGGGTTGCTGTTGAGGGTGTTGACGATAAACTGGTGCAGGTCTATGCCGGTGGAGTCGGTGTACTCCACGCTGGGCTCTGAGAGCGACACAGACGGGCAGGGCGTATTACAAGACAATAGAAATAAAAATACAAAAAGCACACTGCAATATTAAACACCTCAGGAGGACTAAATAGGGGCACTGAAACCCATTTTATTACATTTTATTTGCTTTCTGTTGTCTCTCTTTTATGAGATATCAATCACACACACACACACACACCTTTGGACAGTGAATGTTTCTTTGGATCGGCGCTGTTCTCCTGGTCTTCCTCTTTACAGGGAGTTCTCTCGTTGTCATGGCAGCTAGATGAGATGTTTGCGTCTGGAGATGCCTGAGAGGGGAGAAAATAAAGAGTAATTTGAGTGTGGTGATGATGAGGAGGTGGATGATGTGTGTGTTTGTGTGTGTGTTACCTGGGTTGCTTCAAATGGTGAGAACTCCTCGCAGACAGCAATACTCCGCACTAACTTTCCTTTGGCCTGAAACACACACACAAGCGAGCATTATTACAAATTCATAGAGTATAATGCAATAGATATTTCTGTTCAAATGAATAATGAGAGGCAGAATTATTTTAGCTTACCTTAACTGTTTTCTTTGGTTGCACCTGGTTACAGCTTTTCTGCGAGTGAGGACACAATTTGTCATAAAGTGAGCACGTGAGGGGAGGTAGTGTGGTGCTGCATAACTTTAATGTGATATACTATTAATGTGGTACACTATATATTTAGTGTCGCTCACCTGCTGCTCCAGCTTCTTATTGTCATGTTGGCAGTCTTGGTCCTCCTTCTGTTTGCAAGAGGGAGGACATGGCGGCGGGGAGGGGCAGCTCATGACATCACATGATGTCACAACACAGGGTTTTAGGAGGACATCTGTACTCTCCACAGCTGCTTCGGTCATCCTTCTAAACAACACAAAGCATGGACTCGTGAAGCTGTGCGTGTTTACCCACATAACGGTGACATTTGTATATTTTACTGCTGTTTCAAGATACCTTTGCCTACATTTGCATGAGTTTGTGTGTGTGTGTGTGCGTGTGTTTGCTGTTCCTACCTATTTGGAGTTGTTTACTGGAGAGCCTCACAGGTGAATGATGAGGTCATATATCCCATGTTCCCACAGGGCAGCAAGAAACGCAATTATCCCCTCCACCCGTGCTCGCCTTCTCTACTGTTCCTCTCTCTGCCGGCTCTTTACTGGTCAATGGAAAATAGCGTGGAGAAAACGAAAACACAGGAGAACAAACTGTGTTAGTGGTCATTCTACGACAGAAACACCACTACACTGTTCCTCAAACACACACACACACACACACACACACATCAAACAGCTGCCAGAGCATAAAGGCATAGCTGCTGGAAATGACATCAAGTAGCTAAGCTTGTGTGTCTGCGTATGTGTGTGTAACCTCCGCCTAGGCTTCCCAAATGCTGTCCTGGTTTGACAGTTAATTGCTGCTTAAAGCGTATTACTGTAAGTGTGCCTGTGCATGCGTGTAACAGTAGCAGCACAGACCAGCGCTCGGATGTCACATTTGCTGGTGTGTTTACATGTGTGTGGCTCATGTGAACGCATGTCTAGTGTGTCCTCGAGCTTTTCTTAGAAACAGCAGCTGTGGAGAGTATCATCCAATCCGCCAGCACTGATATTCCCAGAATGCTGAGCTGAGTCTCTGATCCCAGTGGTGAGAATATTGCCGAGACCAAAGAGACAGACACACACACAAGAGGAAGTGGCATTCCACCGTCTCTTCCAGAGGGCCAACTGCATTCAGTGGGGACACATCCTGGTGTAACACAGAGCTCAAGGGGACACTTATTCCTGTAACACCTGGGGACAGAATAACGAGCTCAGAGGATGCCGAGTCCCATAACATGGTTATTTAACACCCGACTGGAGATAATAGCACTTTTTTTTTTTTAAAGACCCCTGTCAGTCCATGTGCAACCAAAGTGGTGTTTACTTCCCATGCCGCCTCAGTGAAACACAATACATGACAGCAGTGATTCCACCCAGCAAAAATATTCTCAGTATGGTCGGGAGGCGCCTGAAATCTCTTTGTGTGTTGGTCTTTAGTTTCATAATGGAAATATCATCAAAATTAAATGCGATACTTCACAATCATTATGATTAAAATGTGTTAGAACATGCTGTACTTTAAGTGTGATAACGTAACCCTGTAGTTATCAATGTTTTTATCGATACACTGATTGAGGTTTTCCAGAGAAATTAGTCCTATGATGTAACGGCTTCTTGAGTTAAGGGATTATGGAAAGGGGCGCTGCTCTCCACGTATTGACAAGATTTGATTCAGTCAATTCAGATGCGTGTCGAGTAAATTAATTGATCAACAGAAAATAAATGGGCAACTCTTTTTCTGTCATAATTCAAGCTAAAATGCCAGACATTTCCTGTTTTCAGCTTTTCACGTGTGAGAAGTTGCTGCTTTTCTTCATGTTATTAATAGAAAACAGAATATCTTTGCATTTTGGACGGCTGATTGGACAAAATAACTAATAATTTGAAGATGTCACCACAGCATGAAAAGAATTTGTCATTATTTTCTCACGTTTTACAGACAAGATGTTCAATTGATTGACTGATAAAATAATCCACAATGTATGAGAGCAGGAGTATTGCAGTTTGCCGACTGCTGAGATGACTTGTATCACTGTATTAGCTTGGTGGGCTTCTGCACACTGCCCAGGGAACATACCTAAACACTCTATAGGACATAATGACTCCCTAATGTGTTGTTGGCGATTTCCTGCTGAGCTGTCCTTCAGCCAAACAGACCAGCTCCATGTGTGCTGCACTGTAACTGACCCTGACCTCAGAGCTCACATAGGGGAGGGGCAAGGAAAAAACAACACGTCTCCTTTTACCATTACAATCAAAGAAAAATTGTCCATAAAATAAGAGAAAGCATGCTGGCATTGGACTGTTTTAAAGCTGTGAATTGAGAGCAATAGCAGCGAACGGGAACATGACATAAGCAGGACAAAGAGGGAAAAGAATGATGTGGAGCAGATGCACTACAGAAGAAACAAGATGAATGGGAGGCAAGGGAAGCAGAGGATGAAGAGAGATGAGGAAAGAGTCTGCAGGGACTTTAAAGGTGAAGAGGGGTGAAGGAAGGCGTTGGAGAAAGAGGGGAGTGAAGAATTAGTGATAGAGAGGCTCGCAGCACAGTCTGTCTCCTGGCTTTTCAGCCGACGGCCGTGAAGAGGGGATTTGAGTGGAGCTACCAGTTTTTGAGCTGAGCGCTGCAGAAGCAGCCGGCCGCCCGGGGAGAAGGTGTGACACGATCATTAGCGCGTGACGGATGGTGGCGGGAGGCAGGGAGCGCCAGTACCCGCTACATCATCATCCATCTGCTGCTCTCCCTGAAGCCTCCAGCCTCAGAGCCACCTACTCACCAGGACACCTTTCTTCTCTGGCCAAAAGCTGCCTGGCTCATCTACACTGACACACAGGCAGGCCAGTGGGAAAATATCCAAAACCTGCTTTAGATGGCCATTGTCAGCTCAACCAAGTTACACTAAGTGCTTAAGCCCAGCACAATCCTGTTTGTAATTAGGACCACTGAAAAATTTATCTTTGAATACCAGGACTATAATTATCATTGGCTCTTGTATCATCTAACACCCAGATCTATCATTGTATGATGTATGCTTGGGTTTCTTATCCTGCCTCGTGTACTTGCACACATTAATCTGTACACTTTCCCATCCCTGAGGACAGTCTGCTCTGCTTTCTTTTTTATTTGCACCCTTCCATCACTTGACAACCAAACTGGAAAATAGAAATTATCACCGCATATGGTCCCCGAAGCTGATTGTGTTTTGTCTCTATGGTTGCAGCTGAATTTAAAAAGGGGATTTCATGTTTTCTCCCTCTGCTCTGAGCTCATTAGGAAATGATTCAGCGAAAGACTCAGAACAAGAGAGCAGGTCTCCGTGGTTTAAAATAATAATTGAGAATTTTGAGGCAAACTCAAAGCATTCAGCTCTTTGTTTATCCATAATATGTACAGGCTTTGCCCCTGAGTCTGTAATTGGGCTGCTTTTCTTTCCCCTCCTACAGTACATAGGGTATTTTGAGTTTTTTACTTACAATTTTTTGTTTTTATATTGTTGCATGTGGTGTGGCTGCACTTTTTTTAAAATCTGCAGCTGAATTCTTTCCCTCCTGGGCTTCTTTTGTCGTGTCTCCTTGCTACTGCACACTCAAGTCAAATAAAACAGGGCATGAATTATTTCACCCTCCACTTTAAGACAAGTGAAGAACAGAAAGTAGGCTACACATGAGAGGAAATTTAGGTTACATCGTCCTTTGAGTCATGAGCACCTGGGCAGCCACCGCAGTTTTATTACCAAAGTGACTTGTGGGTGCGACAGCTGTGTCGCTCTGCAGCTGATGTCAAACCTCAAGATATGAAAAAAACTCTGCACATATACGACACATTAAAGCAGCAATCGCTGGTGTTAAAGGGCAACTTCACCCAAAAATAATCTTTGCAACTCCTTATAGCACAGTCTAAAACTGGAGGCATCTTGACTGTATCACACGTTCAAACAGAGGATGCTGTAAGTAGGCTAAAACAAACAGGTGTCATGCTCATGCACAACTTTTGCGGTATCCTGTTGACCCACATAACATAACGGGACAAACCGATAACGGAGCATGGTCGTGGTTTGCGCGATCTAACGTTACTCTCGGGATGGGACTCTCCCTCTTGGGGGGCTGTGTGCAGGGAACCAATGGGGACAGTGACTGTTAGCTGTGTGTTTGTGTGTCGCATTACCGTGACCCGGGCTTAAGCTGACACACCGGGCTATTTTTACACCCGGGCAGGGAGTGGACCTCCTGCTCCGGGACTTCACCGTGCTGTCAGCTGCATGTGGAGCGCGGAGGACGGTGGGCGAAGGATACACAGCAGGAGCTCTGACATGAACTCGGTATTTTAACAGAAAGAGACTTTAATCTAACAGAGACACGGGGCAACTTGTATCGCCTTTAAACTCACAAAACACACAAGCAGGCAGGAATATAAAAAGAGAGGCAGCCGGTCGAAAAAACATTAAAACCTAACCTGTTCATCTAAGTAACACTTAACACAATGGGCTAAAATAATGTAGCCTTTACATACAACACATCTACCGGCTCCTAATAAACCGTTATCATTCATTCAGCGGTGTCGCTACCGTTTCAGACCCGGGGGAAATGCGACTGATAGCTGCGCTCCGGGGCGCAGTTAGCTAGTTACATCCCCAAATTTTACCGTCTCCTCGGTAGAGTTTCGGCTAAAATATAAATGTGTTCATATGTCACCATAACTCACGATCTGATGCGATTAATGTCGCAAAAGTCCAAACAACAGCGCTGACAAAACAGCACCAGAAGACAGAAGAATGTAAGCCGTTAATCAAGCTATGTCCTCGCGCTAAGAATGTCCGTTAGCTTACCGTTAGTTGACGTCTTCCCTCCTCCGTGTGGGCTTCTGCCGGTGTAGCTTACCTACCGACCGACCGACCGACGGCTGTACACCCGGTGTCTGTTGACTGTGAGGTCCGTTGCTCCTCCTTCGCCTTTTGCCTGTCTCTGTCGGAGCAGGGGGAGCACAGGGGGGAGGAGGAGCGGGGAGGAGAACCGACAGCTCTGAACCCTGAGCCACGCGCCCACACACACACGCGAGGAATGCACGAGAGCCAACCCTCCACCAGCCCACTCATCTCTATCTCTGTCCCTGTCTCTCGCTCTCGTATCTGTCCGTCTCTCTTTGTCTTCCATTTCATCTAAACTCAATTATATTTCCTTTACTACTGCAATATTACTGCAATAACTGACTTCATGACGTGAGGGGACACAACAAGAAATACTCTCTGGTAGCTTTATAAAGGATAAAAATATTATTCTTATGCAGTGATGGAATGTAGCCTACATACAACTGTACCTACAGGAAGTACAAATTCATTTGTACGTTAGTTGAGTATTTCCTTTTGTTTTTACAGTGTAGCTTTTGCTGTGCTACATTGAGAAAAATAAATAAATAAAATTCGAAAACTAATTTCCTACTATATCCACTTTATTCCTGAGGGCCCTAATGTAGAAATAATTATGGGCGCGACTTCCGGCGAGATAGCGGAAGTAGCAGTAAGCTAGTTGTGGTTAGTCCCAGTGGCTACTCTTGGGGGCTAACCACCTGGTTCTTTTCGAAGTAATTTGCCTTCAGTTTTGCAACTACTGGTTTATTTTTTATTTTTTTAACAAATATTTAACTAATGTTAACTTAGCATTTTCTAAAAATGTCTTAGCAGAGCTCTGGTACCTGTTGCACTGTCCGTGTCTGTAACAACTAACAACCAGTCTAAGCTAAATTTTTTTTCTTGAGCAACTGTGTGTTGAACATGTAACCAGAACAAAAATGGGATTGTTCCTGTTGACAAAGGAACCATTAATATGAGAAATAAAACCACAAGAGTTTCATGAGACATAGAGAAAAAGTATTAAATCGGAATTAGCAGAATTGAATGACACCTAGACTGACAGGGCTGTCACACAATGTCAGTACATGATATCCCTGTCTTTCCCCGTCTGACTTCGTTCTCAACCTACATTAGAAAAGTGCTCGTTATAAAATAAACTCAGCAACATACCTTGAAATATGTATTTAGTCATCAGGGCTGAGAATGTGTTACTGATTTACCGTATTTCCTTTATATCATATAAAAATGAACGCCAAAAGTTATGTCTTTTACTACTTCTTTATATTACTAATACTGAAGTCTGCTGCTAAATTCAGCATCATGTTTCGCTCAGAACAGTTAAAAAAAAAAAAAACTGTCTTTAATGCAGACGAGTGGAGGATTAGCTGGGAAACATCACATTTATTCACAACATGGAGCTACAGTTAAAGGACAACTTCGGTATTTTTCAACCTTGGCTCTATTTCCCCATGTGTATGTGTGCGTATGATACATGGGTATCACTCGTTCTAAAATTGGTTCAGTATTGAGCTGCGAAACGAGCTAAAATGGTAATGGGGGCAAATGCGTCCCGTATAAAAGTGCTTTTTTTCGCCACTGACCGGTTCGGATCGCCAGTGCTATCTCTGTAAATAGCATATGGTAGCGGCCCTGAGGCAGTGGTGAGTGTGAATGAGTGGAGTCAGCTGTCAGTCAGTGTTGGAGCAGAAAGGCGGAAGGCGTCCCCGCTTAGTAATGTAAATGAGTATGTATGTGTGAAGTGTGTGTTACGCTAGAAGAGTCAGAGGACGGAGGCTTTTACGTGCTACTCCCTGGACTGTTACCGGAGTTTTTGGAGAGCTCAAATAAACAGGCCTTTTTCCCGAACGCAAGAACAGGATGTCGCGCAGCACCCCGTACAGCTTTCATAGGCTGCCTTTGTCGGACAGCGAGATGCTGAAGTTGTGGCTAGTTGTGCTACAAATGGATGCTAACACTCCTCTCCAGACACTGCGCCTTGCAGACCATCAGGTCTGCAGTGCTCACTTCTCCCAAGATGACTACTGCCAGCCGAAGAAGAGCAGACATCCAATCCCGAAACACCTCTTCCTCAAGAAAACGGCTGTCCCACGAGTAGAGAGAGCTACAGACACAGTGGAGCAAAGCTCGTGACATCACACAGCCCAGAGGTAAGGGAAAGGCTAAGTTAGCATGCTATTTACAGAGATAGCACTGGTGATCTGAACCGGTCAGTGGCGAAAAAACACACACTTCACACACACATACTCATTTACAATACCGAGCAGGGACACGTTCCGCCTCTCTGCTCCAACACTGACTGACAGCTGACTCCACTCATTCACACTCACCACAGCCCCAGGGCCGCTACCATATGCTATTTACAGAGATAGCACTGGCGATCTGAACCGGTCAGTGGCGAAAAAAAGCACTTTTATACGGGACGCATTTGCCCCCATTACCGTTTTAGCTCATTTAGCGGCTCAATACTGAACCAATTTTAGAACGAGTGGTACCCATGAATCATACGCACACATACACATGGGGAAATAGAGCCCAGGTTGAAAAATACCGAAGTTGTCCTTTACTAAATTATGTTAAATGTTTGCCGAATGTGTTAGTGTCTCTTAATAAGTCATCAGAAATCATAAATCATCTTTAGAAGGAGCAGATGTTTACCTTAAGCTAGCTTGAGCCATGTTGAAGTTAACAATACTTTAATGGAGCAAGGAAAGCTAATTGCTAGCGTGCTCGGTCGAAAAGGAAAAAAAAAACAATGCTTTGAGATGGCTGTCAGAGATGGCAGAGGTATGATCACATAATTCTGTTTGAGCTATAACAGGTGGTGTGTTCCATGTTTTATTTTGCAATTGCTCTTAGAAAGAAGAAAAGAGTACTGTAAACAAACTGTTATCATTGGAAATTGTCGGTTTTGGTTTAACGCGAGAAGTTGCACCCATAATTTACACAAGGTATCATGGCGTTAGGAATAAGGTGGATAGGATGTTCCAGAGATGGCGTTTTTGTGTAGGCCAACATGTTAGCGTAGACCTACTAGTTCCCTCGTCAAAAATCCAACAGGATTTTTCCATTGGATTTTGGATTATTCCAGAAAGTAAACCCTGTGGCAAACAAAGGTTTATGACAGTTACGCATTTTGTTCAGCAAGATAATCTTCACAAATGAACACCACTTTCATGATTTTTGAAGCCTAAATGCGATTGGCAGAAGTAAAAAGCTAACGTTTGGCTATAAATTAAATACACCAAGGTTGCATGACTAAATATCCTTACTGCAATAAGGCTGTAAAGCTGTGTTCGACGTGATGACGTTCTGTAGTCTCATTTAGCCACTTGTTAGCAACCGCTTTTTATAAGACATGCAAAGTGGAGAGTGGAGGATTTACTGACGTATTTTATGCTGTAGAAAAAAAGTTGAAAAATAATAAGAGCTAACAAAACAAAAACTGCTTGGGTAAATACACATTTCTTCAGCATTAAGGATTAGTGTATCTACTGATTATTATTCCAGTCCAGTGTCATCTTTTTGAGTCTTGTACAGAGTACATTTTTCCCATTTTCTATCTAGTTATGCTTCTTGTAGTTTCAGTATGTGTGTCAGTTTCTCTGGTAAAAAGATTTCTTCCACAATTGTTAGCCACTGGTCCTTTGTTGGTGGTGTTTCATTACCCCAGTTCCTGATGATAGCTTTCTTTCTTGCTACTAGCAATATTTTGATCAAATTTCTATCACTAGCAATAATATTTTCTTCAGAATATCTACATAGATAAAGCACCAAACAACTGTTAGGAACCTCAATTCCTAGTATGTGCTTAAGCTCTTAACATACTATTTCCTAAATACAGTTATACTCTCACATTTCCAAAAAAACATGAGATTGGTCTGCATCAAAATACCCTTGCTTACGCCAGCGTTTCTGGCAACTATGAAGGTGCTTACTTTTCAGTTTCAGTTCCATGTATTATGCCAATCTTCGTCTGCATTTTCTACATTGAGTTCTTTCTCTCATTTCACCTTGATATATTTAGTTGAATGTTTGCCATTTGTTTCCAGTCCTTGTTATAATGCCAAATTATTGTTATATTACATTCCTGATATGCTTTAATTATGATTTGGATGACACCATTCACCGTACATTTAGCTAAATATATACTTCTACACACATGACATTTTCAGTGCAGGACTTTCACCTGTAATGTAGTGTTTTTTATATATATTGTACAACTGCTAATTTAACCTCAAAAGATCCAAGTCCTCTACCAATGGCCTCATGTACAGGGGAAAGTTCCCATGGTCACATGAAGGCACAATGAATGAACAAAACTACACCTTGAAAGCATATTAAAGCACAGCCTTGTAGAGTTTGAAAAGATTTGGCAGCCTCTCATCTGTTCCCTGGAGACCTAACATTAATCCCGGGGATCGCGCACTCTATTTTAGATCTGAATTTCATTTTATTTGTATTCTTTTTTCAAAAGATTGTGAATGTCACTTTCGTTTCAGGTACCACTTTAATATAACAGGTAATACAGAGTCATATTAAAATATAATCCTTTTACTGATACCAAGAAGATACTGAGTCAGAGACATTACAAATATAAGCTGTATGTTTTGGCTTTTGTTAAGACATGCACAACAATTTATACACACTGTGCATTTATTTGGTGTATGAATTGTGCAGTTAAGTACATAAAATTGCCATAGTGCTGCATTATAGGCCTACCAGTCAAAACTGGATCATTTCAACAGTTTATTCACTGCTGGGTGGTTTGATTTATGAAAGTGAATCATATTTTATTGACTGATGATTGACTGCTGCAGAGCAAAAAGTACGATATTACTTTCTAATATCTATTCAGCAGAAGTGCAAAGTAGCATAAAAAGGAAAAACACATGTAAAATACAGGTACTTTAAATTGTACTTCGGCACAGAACTCAAGGAAATAGGTACATTCCTCTGCTGGTGATAACGGGTGTAAAAACAGTCAATTTTTAAGTCTAGAAATGATCTGAGTGCTCCTTAAAAAACCCAACATGTGTAACAGAGGACGAGATCTCAGTGTCCTCAGTGGTAGCTACAGCCTTGGGCAGGAGACAAGAGTATTCTTTACCCATGTCTGTTTGCACCTACCATGAGCCCATCTGAGGCTGAATCATC